CTTAGGATATGGCGGAAAACAGCCAAATCAGCAACAAAGCAAGAACATAACCAACTCTACAGGAGGAAGCTTCAACCATAAGCCAACAAAAATAGCCAGGGGACCATGTTTCGACTATGTTTGATGTTTCTTTCAAACTCCGCCTGCAGGAGGACATGCCCGATCTAATAACCCAGGAGGAAGAGCCGCTGCTAAGAACGCCCCGGGGGGGAATGCTTGTCCCTGCCCCTCACCGTACTCCTTCCAGCCAGGCTCAGGATGAAGATGGATCGCCCCATAGCGTCCCAGGACGCTGTCATAACATTCTAGAGCGCTCTGAAACGGCTGCGGCGCCCGATTCATCATCCAGACCCGCCGTCGATTATGTATTCTCGATTTGTCCTCGTCTGTATCTGTCCTCGTCCTGCCTTTGTCTTACCTTCCCTTCATCGCTGTCCATTTCTTGACAGCCCCTCTCTCCATCCTGGTCTCCGTCTCCCCCGCTTCCACAGTCCCGGCGCTACTGCTGCGAGGTGGTGGCGATCAGCAGCGCAGAGGGCGTGCAGACATGGCATGCGGCGCACTGTAGTAGTTGCTGTGTTCCCTCCCTGCGAGGGCCAGCAGATCGCGGGGGAACTGCAACGGAGCACGAAAAAATACACACGCGCTTCACATCCTCGATTTTCGATCGGGATGCTTGGGTCGGCGCCGGGACCCCCTCCCAGCCCCTCCCAGCACCCTCTTCCTGGCCTGACGAGCGCGCATCGAAAACTCTCGCAGTCAGCGCGCCGAGTGAGGACGCGCGCCCTCTTCCAGGGTTTCCTTGTATCCTTGCCTCTGCGGCCCGTCCTCAGCCGTTTCCACTGGTCGCCCGCCGCCCAAGCAGTCCCAATTTCGGCCTCCAAGGGTCTTGCGTCTTTACCGCGTTTTACTTGTAGTAATCTCGAGCATCTGATGACAGTGGAGGCGTCTGAGTCTGTGAAAGAATCGTCCCAGGAGGCGCCAGACCCTGGAGGATTCCTTATCCAACGAGGGGGGCGGTGATATCAATGGCCCATCCACGGTTCAAGTTCCACCAGCTTCCAGACCTTGGATTCCTTACCTAAGGGTTCCTTGTCCAATGCCCCCACTGTCCGTAGCAATTTTGGCTCAAGGCCATGGCACGCCCGACGACCGCGAGTCGTCCGCGGCATTTCGAGCGCGAGGGGCTTTGCGCCGAGGGCCACAGTGATTTTCGGTGGAGTTTGAGAGCTGGCGGGCGCGCGGCAGCGGCGGGATGGTGGTTCCTGCTGGTGGTACGGCTGCTGCCGGCGCTAACGCACGCAACGAGAAGGGAGACGACTCCTTCTGGTGGTGCTCGTGTGGGCAGTGGAGCTACTGCATTCGCCCACGGTGCTTCCGCTGTCAGGACCCCCCCCCCCCCCCCCGTGGGCGGTCACGCGCGTAGCCAATCAGCCGCCCGAGCCTGACGCCGACGGCTTCGTCCAGCCTGGCAAGGGCAAGCGAGGCCGCAGCAGGGCAAGGGCAGCCGCAGCCGCGGCCACCAGCCCTGCCCTATCAGGCCGCGCGCAGCAGCGCTGGTCGCGGACAAGGAAACGGGCCTGTCGCCAGCCGCCAGACTGCGCAAGGCTGCCAACACGGTCGGCGAGGCTGAGCGCAAGGCGGCAGGGGCGAGGACGGCCCTGCAGGCGGCGCATGACAGGCTGGAGGATGCCGAGCTGCGCCAGCGAGAGGTGCAGGAGCGCCTCATTGAGCTGGAGGAGGAGGCAAGAAAGGCTAAGACGAGTCAGGAGCGGCTGCGGGTCTCGGACAGCGACTTGGAGGCCATGCGCGGGTTCTTCCTGCAATTGCGCACGCTCCCGACAGCACACTCTGCAGGCAACTTCGCCAGGGCCTGGGAGCTCACCATGCAGCATCTGCAAGCGGTTGAGTGGATGCTCGCCCTGCATGGGTCAGAAGCCACCTGCGACCAGCAGTCAGTGCCCCAGCAGCTCCTCGGCTCGGAAGCGACCTGCGGCCTGCATCCAGCTAAAGCCCGGCGAAGCTGATGTGCTTGCGCGCGGCGGCGCGGCGGCCCCATCGGCGTCGGCCACCCTGCGTGAGCTGGCGCGCAGGCTCACGTCGGAGCGGGAGGTGCAGTCTCTGTCGGGTGGCCCCGCGAAGGCGGCGTGGACTTCGCGGAGCTCGGCAGGAGAGTCGGCTCGCAGTGCGGTTGCGCAGGCAGCCCCTTCGCCCGGGGCCACTCTGTCTACGGGGGGGGCGCGCTCGAGAGGCAGCCCCCCCAGCAGGACCGCGACCGATTTGGTGGAGATCGCGGGGGGCAGGGGTCCCAGGTGCGCGGCGAAGCGGACCTCGGCGAGGTGGGCTGGAGATTCGGGTGCGTCGATCTCGGAGTGATGTTTCGAGAGCAAGCAAAGAGCCGGCGCCGCCTCCACCACAGACCGAGGGAGAGCCCTGGTTGGTCAACGGGCACCAGATCATGCAGGGCCAGGCCCTCTGCGGCACCGAGGCGCCGTTCATGGTCTGCACGGCTTGCTACTTGCACGCCAGGACGCCCACGATGGTGTGGAAGGGGCTCCGGGACGCCTGCGTCGGGGCTGCCGCCAGGCCTCGGCAGGGCTCGTGGGCCCAGGCTTGAGCGGACCTGCAGGCGGGGCGGCCCCCTGGCACGAAGAAGCCGTTCGGCAAGCTGTTCCCCCCCACGGCGGCCATCAAGATGCCGCTGGCCGAGAAGCTGGGCGCTGTGGACCAAGGCGCTAGAGGCGGCATCGGAGCGGCAGTGGCAGGAGGGTTGGATAAGGCCAGCGGTGCGTCGCAGGCCGACGAGCCGCCTGCCGCGGGCAAGGCGGCGACCCAGCGGGCCCCGCCAGCGCCGCCCGCTCGGAGCGAGACGCCGTGCTCATCACGCCGCCCATGGAGGCCGTTGCCCGCGCGCACGGGTTCGGCGACCTGGCGCAGGCGCGAGTCAGGGGCCTGGCGGCGAGAGGTGAGCGGGCGGCGGCGTCTGCCGCCCACGCGGGGGGGCACGGCGTGGTCCGCAGAAAGAGTTCTTTGCGCGCACGGGCCCCTTGGCCCTCGAAGGGCCGAGAAAAAACGCCCTCATTCCGTGCAGTCGAGCATCTGATTAAGATACTTCCTTCCTCCCGAAAAGCTGGGGAAGCGCTTCTTGGCCACATTTCCGCAAAGCTGGCCCGGCTTCTTGAGCGCCTTCGCCCCTCCAGCGTGAAGAACAGAACTTGGCCCCAGGCTTGTCCGTAGAATCCCCGAGGAGGCTGGCCCAAAGTTTGAGTCGGGCGTGTCCCACAGGAGGAAAATTCAAAAATTCCCAGAAACATAGTCTGGGGACGATTTATTCGTAGTTCGAGCTTGTCTGGCTGTAAATGCTTTATAACAACTTTCATCTTCCGTCCAAAATCCGCCTGTAGGGCGACACGCCCGACTTGCCTCCAATTCCTTGAACGAGGAGGTCCGCGCGGATTTTTCGGATAGGCGCTGGACCGCCCTGGCGGCGCCTGCGGCGCCGCCCCTGGCGTGCTCCGCGCGCAAGGGAGGGGGGTCCAGCGCGGATCCAAGAAATCTGCGCGGATCTCCGAGTTTGTATTTATTTGTTGTTCCCCCACTTTTGACCTCAGTTCTGGTTGCATGTCGGTTTCTCAGCGTGCCTGGGTTCCACGGACCGTCCCCGAGGGGCCGTCGCAAAGAAAACGCCCCACGATCTTGGACCGCGAGCGCTCACGGGAGGAGGCCTGGCGCTTGTGCCCCGAAGTCCCCCGCCGCCGTGCCGCGCCGAGGGGGCCCCAGCAGCCGCCAGTGACGGCGTCGGTGGAGCCTGGAGGGGCCCCGGGGGCTCAAAGATCGGGAGCGGCCAAGAGGGGGGTGATGACTAGGGGGGGGGGGGCATCGCGGCAGGGGGCATGATATTTCCTTAGATTTCATGCCCTTCTTATTTCACTACGTCCCTGGCCCCCCCCCCCCTTGTGGGCCGCGCGCGTAATTACCTCCGGCTATGATTTGCGCCCCCCCCTTCTTAGACGCCCCCCTCTTGGCCGCCCCCCTTCTGGCCGCCCCCGATCAAGAGGCACCGCAAGGCCGAGGCGCACTGGATATGGACGATCGAACCTCTATAGGGGCCGGAAAATATCCATATCCACTGCGCCTCGAGGTTTTGGGGAAGGGAGCGCAAAAGTCTAAGTTGCAGCGGATATGGACACAAGTCTCGCCTGCATCTGAGGGGCCCCGGAGTCACCAGGCGGAGGTCAAGGACGTAACAAAACGCCCGTGCCCCTGGTGTACGAGGCAGCTGTGCGCTGAACCTCTTGTGGGCTGACAGTGTACTCGGGTACTCCCTGCGTATCGCGCGTGTCGCGCGGCGCCCTGGCGGCTCTCTGGCCTGTAGGAGCTCCCAGGAGGTCTACAGACCACGCACTTGTACCCCAGGGTGCGGGCGTTGTTTCATGCGTCATAAAAGCAGGAGGGCGTGACGAGTGCTCGGCAACGGCGGGTGGGGACCGGGTCGAGACGCGGAGAAGAAAACGGAGGAGGTGACAGTGAGCGCTTCGGGCCCTCGCGGGTGTATCCAGGGGCCCCGACTGGGGCGTTGGAGACGGCCGGCGTCCGCCAGGACGGCCCCTGACGGCTCCAGGATACCGCGAGGGCAGCCGAAGAGGCGCCCAAGATGTCCCAAGGAGCCCCGGAAAAAATCAAGAGCCTCGCGGGAGGATCCCAGGGTGGTTCCACGACGCGCCGAGGACATCCAGAGAGAGAGAGAGAGACGACGACGACGACGACGACGACGACGACGACGACGACGACGACGACGACGACGACGACGACGACGACGACGACGACGACGACGACGACGACGACGACGGCGGCGGCGACGGTGACGGCGACGGCGACGGCGACGGCGACGACGACGACGACGACGACGACGACGACGACGACGAGATGGAAACCGTCTGGGTTTGCTAATGTCTTCAGCTAGTTTCAGCTCCTACGTACTCGCGGCTCAGCATGACTCC